GATGTTAGGTTGTTTGCTGTGAGGTGAGAAAATGTAACCCATTCCTCATGACCTACAAACCATCAATAAAAATTCTGTTAACGTGCAACGCTTGTAAAAATGATTGCTTTTAGGTGAAAGGATAGGGTTGGGTGAAGAAGGTGCAGAATTAAGGAGAGAAGAGAATAAGAATTCAGCAAGGGCAGGAAATTGGGGCCAAAGGTGAGAATAGAATATAAGCTCCCTTGAAATTTGCAGAAATCTCAAAGGAGGCGTTAGATTTTTTCCCTTAGGCATAATATAGGGGTTTGAGCCAAACAGATGTATATTTTAAAGAGCTTAGTGACCTGCACTGACCTCTGAGAAACATTTGTCTAAAGCTTTTACCTTTCTAGAGCACCATTATATCCATTCCCATCATTCTCCCTTGTCTGCACAAGCAGCTGAGTCTTTGCAGGGCTGGCAGGGGCCTGCCTTCTTAGTCTTCTGAGGTGGTACCTGCCCCAGGAAGCAGAGACTGAGAGAGAATGCAAGAGTGCTTTTAGAACGTGTGGGGAGAGAAGAGATTAATGCAGCTCTGAGAGTCAAATAAAAATGTGGGTGGGGCCTGAAAATTGGAAAAGCATTTTAAAGCTTTATTAAAAGGTGCCTAGTTTTGTCATATCTAATTTCCAGGTGCGACATCCCTGGGTCCTAAACGTGCCACTTTAATTTTTTCTGGGAGGAAATGTCCTGTAAGAATATGATGACCTGATCTGACCCCGATCTCTCCCAGGAATGTAGAGCCTTGAGTTTTGTGGGGCAAGAAGCAAGGTCTTGTCAGGTCGAGGGGTAAAGTAGAAGTGGGGTGGGCCGTGATAATCCCTTTCTTCTTTTAGTCGTTGTCTGACAGGGCTAAGCCCTAGGACAAATTTGGTATGCTGACTTGCGCCATCTCAAATAAAAATAGGATAAGTACACCTCATTTCTCTTGCTTATTAGTGTGCCTTGTCCATGCTTTGACTCTGCACAGGAATTCCTTCCTGGGGAAATCTTTAGTGCTCTTTGAATGGTCTCTGGGAGAGGAAGGGAGGAAGGGGGAGGCTGATGCAGAGCCATAAAAGGTGGAAGTGCAGGGCCTGAAGATAAGTTAACTGCCTGACCTGTTGTTCTTTGGTCACATGACCTGCATTCTCAGCCCTTTTCTACAAGTTTTCTGGAGACCTGGGGTGACCCCCTTCAGAGTGGGTGAGGACACGAGCTGTGACTGTACTAAGTGTTGTATTGCATCAGGGACACTTGCAGGGTTGGTGGGGGACATGGAAGTGTGGGGGAGGGGAATTGGCATCCCCTGTTGATTGGCGGTGATGACTCAGTACTGATGCATGCACTAGGACATCATGAGTGCATTTCACCTGGAATGATCCACTTGACAAGTATTTATTGGGGGCAGGTAATATGCCAGGTGTTAGGGATGCAGAAATGAAAATGGAGCCTATGGCAATTTCTGTTCTAGGTGGTGGATTACAAATTGGAGCAAAGGCTTACAAGACCATATCTGACTTGGACCCTGTTACTTCTCCACTCCAACTCCCCCTACTTTATCCTGTGTTCCCTCTCACAGCCCCAGACGCACTAACCTCTTTGCTGTTCTTAGAACACCTCAGGGTCTTTGCGCTGGCTCTTACCTCTCTGTACCTAGTTGCTCATCTCCCTGACCTCTTTCAGTGTTTACTCAACTGTCTGATCTCCCTATTAAAAGTGTGACTGGTTCTCCTGCCAATACTGCTGATCTCTCTTATTTTGTTCTACATTTTCTTTCTAAAGCATTTATCTTCTTCTACCATACTATCTAGTTGATTTATTATGCTTATTTATTTATTATCTGTCATCACCTTCGAAAATATGAGCTCCACGAAAGCAAGCATTGCTGGTGCATCCCCAGCACCTAGAAGAGCATTGTTGAATGAATTAACAGGCTATAGTGGGGGTTTTGCGAAGGCATCCTGCCCCTCCCCTTTCTGGATCAGGCCTTTTCAGGGCTTTACTTGAGCTCAGCTCTCCCTCCATCTCTTGAATCTCACCCTCAGCAATTTTATCAGGGAAGATCTTTCAGGTTCTCTAAGCAAGCCTGGCTGCATGAGAAACTTCTTTCCTGTGGAGCCTGCAGGAAAAGCAATGCAACTAAGTAGAAGAGGGGACACACTGTCACTCTAGGAAATGTTTTTAGGAACTTAATTATCATGGCTTTGAGATAACTCAGCAAAGGAAGTTTTTGAAAGAAGGATTTTGCCTTTCATTTAGAGATCCAATTCCAGTCTCCCAAATATGATCTAAATTTTGCTCATCCATCTAGCTCTGATTCTTCTTCAAGAGGACACACACACACACACACACACACACACACACACACACACACCTGCTTCTATCCCTTCAACATAAAATGGAATGTAAACTCCGTGAAAACTGGAATCTCATCTGTCTTGTTCACCATGATAACTCCAGGGCCTAGAAGATTGTCACCTGGAAAATCATAGGTGCTCAATAAATATTTGCTGAATGAATGGAAAGCTCAGACCTCATCAGAAGGACCTAGTTTTTCATATTTTCTTATTTTTCAAGAAAAGCCGGATATTCATATGTTAGGTATGCTCTCCCTATGTGGCAATTTATTTAAAATCATTAAAGTACTTTCTTAGTCAAATAAATTACATCTGCAGGATTATTTGTCCTGCCAGCTTCTGGTTTGGAGTCACTGCCCTAAATTCATTGCAGATTCTATGCTAAGTATTTTGGAGGGAGGAGGGAGAGAGGTTGGGAATTTTAAGGGGAAAGAGGTAAGAGAGGAGACAGGGGAAGACTCCTTTTCTCAATGATCAGAGAGTCCCACAAGGAGTAGGGACCCCTACTTTTCTCCCTGACAATGTCTTTGCTGAGGTGGTGAGATTTCAGAAGGGGGCAGGGCCACAGGCCCAGGGGGATTGGGGGTCACAGTTCCTCTTTAAGTTTACATGGAAGTCGTGGAGAGGTAAAATTCCAAGAGATCACCAGGAAGGCACAATGTAGTTATAAGGCAGGAGGGGGCCTGCCAAATATTTTGGGTGTCCTAAGCATCCCCAGTCTCTTTGCATAACCCTAGTGGATGGGTGGGGGCTGCAGTAATGACTGGACTGGATTTCCCACCAGACTGGAGGGAACAGGACTCAGAGGCACATTAAAACAAAAGTAAATAAAGCTGTAGGATTATTTCTTGTACACCCAAGTTTGTGAACTAATATTCATAGTACGTGGTATTTTGTTTCTGTCAAAGTGGGGAAGACAGATGGGAAGGGAGAAAGTATAACAGACTTGGCCCCAACACAGGCTTTTAGTCTCATGGTCCCCTTGAGTTTTCTTGGGCACCTTTCAGATCAGCCTTGGACCGTGTCCTCCCAGATGAGTCTGCTGGTTTGAACTCCCATCCAGACATCCCGAGTAAGGGCCTCATTTGTTCCAAGGCCCTGTTCCTTAGGAATTTGCAGTCACAGCATTTGCCACATATGTTCCGGCAGCAGGGGTGAGGCCGAGGCATCACAGGCCTCTTATGGTCCGGATGAGTGATGATCAGTGCCAAATGCATAGCATCCCTTGGTTGGCTGTGGCCTCAATCCTCCTAGCTTATAAACAGGAATTCCGAGGCTCTGTGAGCTCAGTCCTGTGAAGAATACAAAACCTTCTTGACCCTTTTCTTGTTCTAAATACCTCTCTCCTCCTCGGTCCTCTTCCTTTACCCCTTCCTCTAAAGAGTGGCCTGGAGAGAAGGAAACCAGCTGGCTTAAGCTGGCAGACAGGGTGAGATTTTTGTGCAAATAATTTTCCATCAAATGGGAGCCGGAAGGTGGAGGTGGAACTGCTGCTTCCATCTCGGAAGCAGAGTTGCTTTCTGGCAGAGAGCTTAAGCAGGCAGCAGCACGTAGGTGCACCTTCCCTTTCGCAGACTCACCTGTCTCCTGGCCCTACCTACAGAAATTCCAAGGGCTTGTGAGTTAAGGCTGAAGGACTTTCCGTAGGGGTGGGACTGCTCTGTGCCGCTGGAATGTTTTCCTTCTCCCCAGAAGAGGTGAGTGCACACAAGTATGAAGTAAACCAAAAAGCTCCCAACTTTTTCTGAGGACTGGCAAACTGCAAAATACATTATGTGCTTGAGCAATGGAGGAAAAATATCCTCAGGTTGAGTCATGCCTGTGCCTTTCTCCATATCTCACCCCTCTAATCCCACCTCCTCATCTTGGATAAGTAAAGGAGGGAAGGAAGGAGAGGGAAGGAGAGGGAGGGAAGCCCCAAAGTCAGGTTTGGAAGTGGTTTGGCCAGGAACCGGGTGTAAGATAGGGAAAACTGTCTTTATTGAGGGCATGAATGTAACTGCCTTAGGGGGATTTGAGGCCTGCTCATGCCAATCGCTATTTATAATATAGGGTGTGCTGTATCCACCACTGGAATTCAGACATGTCTGGGCATCTCTGTCAAATTGGTCCCATGAGATAGGCAGGGACTCAGGAATCTACTGGAAGAATCTTCATCCTATGGGGACAGAAACAAAGCACGACGATCTCAGCCACGTAACAGGGCCTTAGACTTCTGAGGGGAGGAGTGACAGTGTGAGCCCAGTGTCTGTTAGACACATCTGTCCCAGTGCTGGCTCCATGCCCTAGTGAGAGAGGACTAGCTGCGAGTGTAAACTCCCAAGATGTCGAGCAGGAGCATCTCTGCTTCGGTAGTCCTGAAACACTTCCTAACTGCACATGTGGACGGGGGCATTCTCTTCCATATGGTGCCATAGATAACCGGTGCCTGTGGGCGATGAGGGTACTATGGGAAGTGCTTTTTGGGAGCCACATCATTGCTGATCGAAATGGTGGAGGGCACATGCAGGTCAGCTCTGAAGACTCCCGGAACAATTTGGGTGGAGTTTGGCAGGGTGGGCATCTGGTTTACCACATCAACAGGATTACAGCAGCCACAATAGTAATTCCATCTTGCATTTCAACCAGAATGGACTTTACAGAAATTTTCACATATATGTTTTTATTTGACCCTCATGACCTCCCATGTGGTAGAAGCAAGCGTAATAATCCTCCTCAGTACCAAGTGGGGCTGGACTTGACACCTTTGAGGACACTTCAGCTCCATCACTCCACCATTCTTGGGGGTTGTCCAAGGGCCCACCTTGGGCTGTTCATTAGGTAGGCACACTTCAGAAGCTGTGAAGTCAAGACACAAGCATTGCCTGGGGGCCTCCTCCCTGCCTCGGGTTCTGAACAGGAGACAAAACAGTAAAGAGGGAGATAAAAATATTATTTTTATTACTGCTAGAGGCTAAGTGGGAAGAAGCAGCTTACAGTGATAAACAAATGGCCCTGCTCTCTGAGCACAGGACTGGGCAGACATGTCTACCCTGTCCCAGGAGGGGACACTTTTCCAGGTAAAACTTTGAGCATAAGAAGGCAGAAGGGAACAAGAAGAAACAGAGGAAGGGGCTGGGTGACTCTGTCTGGTGCCTCCCTCTAACTCACCAACCAGGTGAAGGTGGGAAGGGCCAGGAATGTCACAGGAATGGTTGTCCCTCCACGTGGGAGAATCGTCAGAGTTAGGGAAAACATGTTTCTATATGAACAACTGTACTATATTGACACTCAACTTCTCATGGGGCCAGGCCCTCTACACTGGCAGGAGTGGCTTAGTTTTCTGGCCCATTGAGAGTTCATTGCCATATTAGGATTCTCCAGGGAAACAGAACCAATGGGATATGTAGGAGATATGTGTGAGTGTGTGTGTGTACAGAGAGAGAGGGAATGTTGGGGACGGAGACACCAATACAAGTAAATATACTGAACAAAATGAAATTATGAAGATTTATATTAATCCTTGGATCAATTAGTACCTCTCAATCATCTGGCATCTGTGGACCATGCCCTGAGTCATGGGGCTTCTTAAATATTTTTTGTATTGAGAACAAGAACAACTTGCTTCCTGATTCAACGGGTAGCAGAAGTGTCTGCTATGTGCAATGCCCTGTGTTGTGGAGGACATGAAGGGAAATGACATGTTGTATCTGTTTTCTGGAAGCTCAAGGTTAAGTTGATGATGGCAAAGCATAACATAATGATGCATTTAAGAGGATGTAAGCCAAATGTTGTGGTTTGAGGTGGGGCTAATTCCCAACTAGAGTCTGAAGAAGGCTCAGTGGAAAAGAAAACATTTAAATTGTACATTGAAGAGTGAATCGAATTTTGAAAAGTATAATTTAGGCTGGGTGTGGTGGCTCAGCCTGTAATCCCAGCACTTTGGGAGGCTGAGGAGGGTGGGTTGCCTCATCAGGAGTTTGAGACCACCCTGTCAACATGGTGAAATTCCATCTCTACTAAAAATTCAAAAATCAGCTGAGTGTGGTGGCATGTGCCTGTAATTCTAGCTACTCGGAAGGCTGAGGAAGAAGAATTGCTTGAACCCAGGAGGTGGAGGTTATAGTGAGCTGAGATCGCACCACTGCACTCCAGCCTGGGCAACAGAGTGAGACTCCATCTCAAAAAAAAAAAAAAAAAAAAAAAAAAAAAAGCAGAAATAAAAAAAAAATATAATACAAGATAGGTTGAATTTGGGGGAATGTGGAAAATTCGGGTCTTGCTGGGTTTTTTTGTGTGTGTATGTGTTTGGGGGGGGCAAAGTGGGGAGGGGGATGGTTACAGGGGCCTTCTTGAGGCTGAAATGTGGGAAGAAAAAATTTAAAGACAGAGTTCAGTTGGGAAAGATAGTTTATGGTTACACTGGGAAAGGCATTGAATGTTGTGCTAAGGAGTTAAGACTTCCTTCTGAAGGTAATGGGGTGGCAATTCACTGTTTTTAAGTACAGGATGGACACACAGACACACACACACACACACACACACACACACACACACACACACACACA